AACTTCCACGTGTATGCTTCTCTTTGCTTGGAACATTTCGACCCTAACAACATTCTCTCATCCAAATACTGTTTAAAGATAATTCTTTTTTTAAAGAATCAGACTGGTAGTGCGTTTATTGTGATTAGCTACCATGTCTCATCCTATTATATGCAATATTATCTTCCTTTTCAAGCATGAAATATGTGCCAGCCTCTCCTTGGTCCCTAAGGCCATCAATATCTCGGAGTGTTGGCTATGCAGTGACAGGGTATTAGATAGGTATAAAGGCTTTCAGAAAAAACAAAAAACAAAACAAAACAAAAAACCATTTCCCCTCCCCAGAAGATAATACATTGACTTTATTAATGATGTGTGAGCAAGAATCAACAAACTTGGGTCTTAGTCCAGATTCTGATAAATATGACTTTGACAAGTCAAAACAGTTTAATGTCCGTAGGCCTACATTTCTACATTGAGAATGTACTCTCTACATAAGGGTGCTAGAAAGAGGCTCCCTGAGCTCTCTGCCAGGTTTCAAATTAGGTAACAGATCCAATAAATTTGTTTTTTTTAATTTCTAGGTTAATCTTAATTACTCAATAACTACACTGTCATGTAAATATTCGAATAGTACTGATAAAAAAAAATGTCCCTCATGAATCTTGGAATTCTTCCTTCTCATCCTTTACACTGTTTCCCAATATTCCTCAGGATATGGCCAAACCACTAGTTATTTAATCATTCCTTTCTCTATTGACATCATGGTTGCTTCCAATTTTCTTCTTATACACAATGCTAGAGTGAGCATCCTGGTAAGATGCTGTACATTTTCTAAGATCTCTCTGCTTTACTTACAGCAAAAGGTCTGTGCTCTGGACTTTGTCCCCACCATTAATTGGTTAAGAAGCATTAAAACAAAGGTCTCCAGTGTATGCAGATAAAGTCCCCTTGTGGGGTGCCTGGGTGGCTCAGTCGGTTAAGCAGCTGCTTTCGGCTCATGTCATGATCCCAGGGTCCTGGGATTGAGCCCCGCATCAAGAGCTTGCTTCTCCCTCTCCCTCTGCCTGCCGCTCTGCCTACTTGTGCTCTCTATCTCTCTGTCAAATAAATAAATAAAATCTTAAAAAAAAAAAAGTCCCCTTGTGAAGCGACCTAGAGAATAGTGACAAAGTGTTTTCACTTGAATGTGATAAGAAATCTAACAACTGCAACCTAAAACTAAACGAACATCATTGTGGGCAGTGGTCCCTCAGAAAAGGATGCCAGGACACGTAGGGGGCTGACTTCCTTGAGGTTTGGGCCAAGGTGAAGCACTGAAGGGGGCTTAGAGAGGGGAGTAAATCCTTTCAAGAACCCCAGAACCTCATAGCAAGGGGAGCCACTTGGTTTGTTGAGTCACTGGAGCCGTAAAGACAGGGGACAACAGACAATCTTTTATTTTGCTCTGTGTATAGTATGGATCTTGTGAAAGAAACACATGCAGTCACTGGCCAGAACAAAAAGAAACCTGGAAGCTTCTCTCTCCTGCTAGTATGGAAGCTGCTAAGGGAGGTCAGTGACCACCCTGACCTGAAGAGTCGACACTAGTGAGAGAGAAGCCCTGGACCAGTGGAGGATGGCACCACAGAGGAAAATAGCAAAGGGAAAAAGAAGAAGACCAGTCCTATTGAAAGTGTCAAGTAGGCCAAGGAAGACTGATGAACTGACTTCAAATGCAGCAGGAAATCTATGTACTGAACACTACTAAATGCCAGCATAAGGTAGGGGCTACTATGGTCCACATCTCCTGTGGTCCTCATGCGTACGCTTAAGGGGGTGGTATTACCATTTCTCATGGGACGTGTGAAAATATAATGACTCAAAGAGGTCTTTCCTTCCTTCTTTCCTTCCACAAGTATTTGTTCAGAGTCTGTGACATATCAGGTATGATTCCTGGCACTGTGGATATGGAGGTAAACAGGAGGTAAGGTCCCTGCTTTTGTGGGCCTATATTCAAAACAAATGAGTGAAATTATAAATTAATACATAAACAAGAAGGAATGTTAGATTGCAATAAATTTAATGCAGAGACTCAAAATAGGATAGCATGGAGGGCACTTTTTTGGGTCATGGAAATGCTCTATATCTTGACTGTGGTACTTAGACAGTTGTATGCATTTGTCAGAATTCATAGAATGGTATACCTTATAATGGGTGACTCGCCATATGTAAATTATATCTCAATAAACTTTACCTTTAAAAAATAGGATCGTACACCAAAAAAGTGATAGGTTACTTTAGATTGAACAACAAAGGCCTCACTAAGAGGGTAGTAATTTGAATACAAGAAAAAAGATGAAGGGAAAGGTCATTCCAGAAAAAGGAAAGAGTAACTGCAAAATCCCTCCAGTGGGAATGAGCTTGGCATGTTCAAGTTCCAGCAGGGTGGGGGAGGTTGCAGATGTGGATGAGAACCAGGGTGGGGTTAGAAACCAACATCAGGAGACTGATGTTATTTTCAGTGCCACAGGAAATAGGTTTGTAAGCAGGGGAATTACAAGTTCTGATGTATGCTTTTTAAGAATCACTCAGGCTGCCATGCAGAGAATGACTTGTAAGGGAGCAAGAGTGGAAGGAGTTTTTGTAATAGTCCATGCAAGAGATTATGAGGTCATGGACGAGGGTGGAAGCATTACAGATAGAAATAGGCACATCTAATACAATATTATGATATTATATAAGTTAGGATAACAAGTAAATCCCAATCTCTGTGGCTTACCACAGTAGAATTTGGTTTGGTATTCCTGACTGGAGTATTTCTCTCTATCTGGTCACATAGAGAATGAGGCTCCTTCTACCTTTCGACTATACTGCCCTCTAGGGCCACAGAAGTTCTCATTTACTCATTAGATGCAAACGAGTGAGCATTTGCTGGAGATTTCTATGGGTCTGGTCTGAAACTGGAACACATCAAATTAACCCACACTCTGTTAACTAGAACTTAGCCACATACTGCATGCACCTAACTGCCAAGGGGGCAGAGAAATGTAGTCTATGATTGTGCCCAGGAAGAAAGGGAACCTGGTTTGGTAATCAACCAACAATCTCTGCCACATGGAAGTGGATTGGGTGAAATTGGTGAGAGAAAGAGAGGAATCAAGGAGGAAGCCTTGGACTTCTCTCACTAGTGGTGCTTGCTAACTGTGGTAAAAGAACATCTGGAACATATGCTGGATTCCTCTCCTTCCTTTAGCCCCACCTGTCGTACTAAAAGAAGGAATGACGAGTGGAAGAAGACACAGAGACTTTGCCCATAGCAACTGAGCAGAACATAAAGGCAGAGAAGGAGGAAATTATTTCCTCCTTCAAAAGTGAAGCTGTCCCTGATGATATAGAGCATCTTTTTGAAGAAGGATGCACTCACCTGACTAATTACACCTGGTACTTAATGAACAGAGCCACCAGTCTTGGTGACAGCGGGCAGCAGATACTCTTGCCAGTGTGATCAGTACTGAAGATGCTAAGACCACTAATCTTCCTGGGAGATCCTCCCTTCACTGTGTCAGAGGATGTGGAAAGACAACAGGGGTAGTATACCTTTAACTAAACTCCGTTCAAAAACTTCCAGGTGAAGAATCAAGCCCGTTTGATAACTTTCCAAATAGGAAATTGTGAACTCTTTGAGATCATGGTTTATTAATCTTTATATCCCCACCTAGTATACAACATAATACTTAACATAAATCAATCATGCCCTCGTAAATATCTGTAAAAAATTAAATATTTATGTGGAGGTTAAGGTCAAGATTGATTATCTATAGCAAGTGCCCTGGAAAGTTATCCAAAAGCAACCAGGTATGCCAGGTAACCTCAGCATAAATTTATGAAGTATGGTTTGGCTTTAACTTTGATCCCGTTATCACTAATCTCATTTTCCTTGGAAAGACGGTTAATCCTATGCCCCATTGACCTGGTAAGATACACAATACTCAGTTTTCTTAGGTACTTGTAAAATGTTAATATTCTGTTCTGGTCATGATTTTTTTTTTTTATTCTTTAACAGTCTCATTGCCATGTCAATCGAATTAATGCCTTTAGATATGTGTATTAGAATCATAACTTTTTTCATTCATTCCACAAATGATATATATATTAAATAAAAATATATAAAATACAAAACAAAAAGAAGAAATTAGAAAGTACCCATAACTCAATCATGCACAGATATTTGGTATTTGTATGTATATCCTTCTGGACTTTCGTATATATTTATAACATATCCCTCCTTTATCAAGATAGGATCACTCTGAACTTAATAATTTTTTTAAGATTTTATTTGTTTATTTGAGAGAGAGAGACAGAGCATGGGTGGTGGGGAGGAGCAGAGGGAGAGGGAGAGGGACAAGCAGACTCCCCACTGAGCACAGAGCCCGACTCGGGGCTCAATCTCAGGATCCTGAGATCATGACCTGAGCTGAAGTCAGATGCTTAACCAACTGAACCACCCAAGCATCTCTGAACTTAGTATTTCTGAACCTATTTAAAAATATATATCTAAAAAGCAAATTTTTAGGTAAGCATATTTAAAGTTGTTTTCAAATATGTGTGCTTGTTTCTTTGTTCCAGCTTTATAGATCATGGTCATTTTTCCTGAAAGCAGATGTAGTTAAGATTTATTCTGTGTCCCAGAATGAGTCAAAGTTCAACTGAAAGATTTCAGGTCAACAAAAGAAGGGCAGCATAGCAAGGATTCACAACACAGGTAAAATTCAAACTAGGTGATCTTTAAGTTTCCAACACTGAGTTCTGTAATTGTCTTACTAAGAGTCAGGGGAGACACTGAGATAGGGAGAAGGAGGCAGCATTTCCAAGACTTACCAGAGGTATAGGGAACGGTTTGATAGGAATAAATGCTTATGGGGCAGTACTGGTACATAACCTTGGAAGGAAGATCATAGGCAGATTTGGGGAACTGTGTTTTGTAAGGAGCTGGGATGGGGGAGAAGAAGGATATTAAGTATATTAACTATTACCTCCATCTCCTTTTCTCTTCTTCTCTTCCTCTTTCTCCTTCTTGTCTTAATCTTTGCATCTTAATGTCCTTAGACTCCCAACCTTCTGAAATCATCCTTTGCTTTAATATCCATATAAGCTCACTTCTTCCTATAAATCAAGAAAGATCAAGTTATGCTAACAGTAATGAACAGTCCCCAAATCTCAATGACTTAAAATAATAAAGGTTTATATTTTGTTCATGCTACATAACATCAGGGATCAATCAGGGATTCAGGTGATGGAGCAGCCACCATCTCAAATGTCTTCCTCCTTGCTGGAGGGAAAGAGTTCTGGAGCGTCAGCAATAAAATGTTTGGCTCTGAGATAGCATATATAATTTCTGGTCACATCTTATTGGCCCAGAAACAATCACATGATCCCCCCAAACCCCAGCAAGCCATAGACTACATGCTGCCAGAAGGTGGAAAGCCAGAAATACTTAGTGGGTATTACTAATCACTATCACACCATATACCTACGGGAAATCCAATGTCTGGTCTCTTTCAGTGTCATATTCACTTTCTAAAAGCTTTTTGATATAAAATAGTTAAATCTTTCACTTTTCCATATATTTCTCATTGTTCTCCATAGGCCCCATCCTGCTCACTGGCCCTGTAAAAGTTGCAGCCTTCCACTTGAAGATTCTTAAGAATTTATTGAATGAATGAGTGGAATTCTACATATTTTATTTCTTTTTTTAAAATTTTTTTTTTCTTTTTTTTTGCGAGAGAGAGAATGAGAGACAGAGAGCATGAGAGGGAGGAGGGTCAGAGGGAGAAGCAGACTCCCTGCCGAGCAGGGAGCCCGGGAGCCCGATGTGGGACTCGATCCCGGGACTCCAGGATCATGACCTGAGCCGAAGGCAGTCGCTTAACCAACTGAGCCACCCAGGCGCCCTTATTTCTTTTTTTTTAAAGAGTGAGAGAATATGTGTGAGCAGAGGAGGGAGGGAGAGGGAGAGGGAGAGGGGGAGAGAGAATCTTAAGCAGGCTCCATGCCCAGCACAGGCCCAACACAGGGCTTGATCTCATGACCCTGAGCCGAAATCAAGAGTCAGTCGCTTAACCAACTGAGACAGCCGGGCACCCCCATATTTTATTTCTTTAACCTTGTTCTATGCCATGCATCAGAATTTCTCTCCAATTCTTTTAAATCAGGCTAAGGGTAATGACCTTAATCTCCGTTATTGCCCTATTCCCACGCTAGACCATATGGAGATCTTAGAGTGAGTGAGGCATTCCTGTAATGTAATTTCATAGCCTTACTGGAAGTGTTCGTAAAGATGTCCTCCACTAACATATTTTGTAATTCACTGAGCTCCACCCTTTTCTCTTCCTCTTGCTTTTTCTCTTTCCAAGATTACAAAACATAATCAGTAAAATGATATATTTTTTTAAGATTTTATTTATTTATCTGAAAGCAAGAGGGAGAGCACAGAGGGAGAGTGAGAGGGAGAAGCAGACTCCAAGTGAGCAGAGAGCCCAACAAGGGGCTCTATCCCAGGACCCTGAGGTCAGGACATGAGCTGAAGACAGACGCTTAACCAACTGAGCCACCCAGGTGCCCCTAAAATGATATAATTTATGTTTTAGTTTTCATACTATGGCCAAAGAATGACATTTTCCTACAATGTCTTGCTAATCAAATCCAGTCTTTTTAAAGTATAATCACATCTGTATGTGATCTCTTAGAATATCTCTTTCCTCTTTTCCTTTTCTCCCCCAGTACACAACCACCTGACATTTCTCCATACCTTCCTCCTGTCAGCTGAGACTAAGCTTATCAAAAAAAATTTAATATGCCTCCTCTCATCCTCTGACAAATATTTGAAATTCTGCGTTATGGTCTTATTTTTTTTAAGTTTGTATAATAGTGACATCACTAAACCACTGTGCTGGCTTAGGAGATCTCAAACTTGTTCAGCTCAGTCTTAGCTCAAATCAGATCTGAAGTTCTCTCCATCATGTTTTTAGGTATCTAGTAGCTGCTTAGATGTATGGGTATTGGAACATTGTGGAAAAGCTACCAAAAGGGGAGTTGCCTTTGCAAAAAAAGAAGGGAAAGGAAAGGAAAGGAAAGGAAAGGAAAGGAAAGGAAAGGAAAGGAAAGGAAAGGAAAGGAAAGGAAAGGAAAGAAAAGTGCTGCTGGGTTTTCAGCCAATAACTGACAGGTGCAAAAGGAGCCACTGTACACCCTGGGATGGGCAGATCAAGAGACTGGGGGCCGGCAGGTGTGGCATGGCATTCAACTAAGAAGGTAGAGCATGTGACTGGCAGTCTGCTGAGCCCTTGAAAGGAAGTGTATCTTCTGTCTGCTCCCCAGACACACCCTGGATAGTGTGCACTGAGAGTCGGGCAGGGGGTACCTACTTATCTTAGGCAACTTCCAAGGTAAGTTCATAGACCACACTCCCTTTGCTACTCTTCTCCCACTTGTCCTCCCCTTGATTCCCACCCATACCCACTGCATTTTTCCATATAAAAACCTCACCTTCCTCTTTTCTCCCACAATAGAAATGAACACCCCCTCAAAACCAGAGACCACATCTATTAGGCACTTTCTATTTGCTTGATGAAAGGGAGGACAGGGTTTCCAAATATTGTACAGACGTAAGGGGAAATATTTGTACTTTGGGGAGTTGGGAGAGAACAAAAGAAGTCCTCTACCTGGATTGGGCTAATCTATCAAAGCAATCATTAAGTGTTCACGTTAATTGGGGCGCCCTGGTGGCTCAGTCAGTTGGGTGTCTGCCTTCGGCTCGGGTCGTGATCCTGGGGTCCTGGGATCGAGACCCGCATTGGGCTCCCTGCTCAGCGGGAAGCCTGCTTCTCCCTCTCCCACTCCCCCTGCATGTGTTCCCTCTCTCACTGTCTCTCTCTCCGTCAAATAAATAAATAAAATCTTTAAAAAAATAATAATAATAAATAAATGTTTATGTTAAAACAAAACGAACATTCATACCTTCCTATACTTGGAGCTTCATTAAAATGCAAATAAACAAAGATGGGTATTTGTTGTTAGTTATTTGACCTAAGTAAAGATTAATTTCCAACCCTTTCCTCAGAGTAATTTTTGATAAATGAGAGCCAGGGGAAATTGGGTACTTCAAAGAAATGCAGAAGGCACAGTCAGAGAAACGTGACCAGGCAAAGAATGGGGAAGCCGCGATGGTTTTGCTGCAGCCTTGCTCAAGTTCAGTTATATTTACTTCCTAAACCACAAACTTAAAATACTCATATAATTCTACTTTCCAGAGCAATACCATGGCTTGCTCCTTCCAACTATCTATTCACCCTGTTTCTCTCTGACCACGCCTGTGTTCTTCACAGTCACACCCACGTGGTCTAGACTGTATCTCTTTTGCACCAAATTGATACTCTCTAACCCTATCCGTGAGTTGGGATATAATTCCCTTATTTCTCATTTGCTGGGGGGCCAAAATAGAGATTCTGAACCCTAATAATTTTATACATACTTCAGTGAGCATCCAGTGAATTTTGTACCCTCAGACTACATCCCCACAACTGCTCTTTCCAGGAGAGATGAGAGCAAGCCTTCAATGTTCAGCACAAAGATGCCTCGGGGGATTCTAGGCTAACTTCAGACCAGGCGAGTCCAGAAAGTTGGCATTTTCAAAGGATTCCAATATCACTGACGGGACTAAGAAAGCATGAGAAAAATGAATATGAGGGCAAATGGAAAGCAATTTGGCAGCAAGAGTAGAAAAACTAAACAGCAAAGAATGACGTAAAGAAAGAGAGGCAAACGTTGCCCCCAAATGACTGTCAATCAACAGGAGATGCCACTAGCATTGAGCAGTGGGGGCTATCACTAGACCCACAGACCCTACACAAAAGGAGTGGGAAGCGTGGGCTATTTCAAGGCATGGTGATTTTACTACTAATAATGATTACTTTTTATTTTGATCATCCTCAAAGTTAGAGTGGTTTGGGGAAGCTACGGCCATATTCTTATTAACTCTATCTACCCACCCATCTTTCTCCCCCAACTTCAAGGATTTGTCATGTGGGGAAATTTGTGTTAATATAATAAGGTACCCCAAAGTTGCTGGAATGCCCTAAAGCTCTGAAATGGAGCTATTTTTCTGGAAGTTGATGTATTTACCTGCTGACCACAATAAGCCAAGGACTGCAACAGATCCACCCAGGACAAACACAGACAGAAGGCAAAGACATCCCACGTCACTGCAGACAGTTGAGAGTGTGCCAAACTATGCACACCTTTGTTTTAAATTTTCTATACAAGCTTGGCAATGTTTAGGGAAAATTACAGTAACATTACCAGCATCAAGTCCAAGATTAGTGTTTAAACCTAAACCCCACACTCCAGAATTGACTTACTGCAAATAAGACATTCAGGGTTTCTCTTAAAATCCCTACTGAAGTTTTTTGTTTTTGTTTTAATCACTGCTGAATCTACACCAAGTTACACAAACTTCCTAATAGAAAAATGTCTGTGACAGACAGAATTAGTGAACCACTTTCTGAGTAGATGAATTTTAAAATGTAGATGATCATTCTATATCCTTAGTTTTGGTTGCCAATGCAAATGAGTCAGAGGATTTGCTTCAGACACTGAGTTAATTGTGTAACACTACAGTGAAAAACGCCATTGGAGAGGACTTGCTGACCTCACAGTCCAAAAAAACCATTTAAAAGATGTGGAAACCAGATGTTTCAGTCACATTTCAGCCTCTGCTCTGAGAACTTATCCTGGACAGCCCCTAACAGGCTATTACTTCTCTACAACTGAGATATGATCATCTTAGCTTACTTATTTGTCCTGCTGTGGGAAGAGGCTCACGGATGGGGATTCAAGAATGGAATTTTTCATAACTCCATATGGCTCGGTAAGAAACTTCACTCATGAGCTTCTTGGGGACGTTACTTCTTTGAATTAGTGGAGAAGTGAATTGAAGCAGGAAACTTTTTTGTTCTGTTCAAGACTGATGTTTTCAAAGAAAATGCTGAGGAAAAACAGCTTTTAGAATGCATGTGCCTTTTAAAAAAAAACTGTTCTTGCCTTCTAAAATTAAAAAATAGTTTTTTTTAATAAAGTGAACTATTTAGTAGAAAATAGAAGTTAAT